GCCGACGTCGCGCAGAAGATCGAGCCTGGCACGGAACTCGAGCATCAGTTTATTCCATGGCCGACCCTTGCCAAACGCCCCCTCCAAGTTGTCGCGGAAGAACACCAGCTGAAACACGCGCCAGAGAGTGCTCGCGGCAGCTTCGGGGTCCTCGTCCTGCCCGTAGCCGCCAGGAGGAGGGCAGCCTGGCATCGCTTCGATGACGTGGGGGGTGGCGGCCTCGCCAATGGCCCCCTCGATTACTTCGGCGACGTCGGAGATCAACCTGATGAACCAAGATCCTGCGATGGTCGCGTCAATGTCCGGCGAAGCTGCGTCACTGCCCACGATGGCAAGCAACTGCACTGCCTCCATAATATTGGCAGACGTGCCTGCTCATCGATCAGGCGTCCGACCAGCAGCAGGGTGTCCTCGCGATTTTCTGGAAGTTCGATGTCTTTGAGTTCGGCCCAGACGGCCTTGAAACGACTTGCAACTGACTGCAGGTCGTTCCCCAAGGCAACGACATTCCCCACGGTGCCCCAACAGGTCACTCCGATATGGGTGGGCTGACCCTTCTCGCTGGAGGAGGTTCGGAGCATCAAGCTGACATCGGACTTCTTGTCCAGCAAAACCTTGGCAGCAGTGGCGCTCTGGGGGCTGCTGTCGACCCAGTGCGTCAAGAAACCCCAGGAGGACGCGCCCAGGCCCAAGTCCACGTGAGCTGCCTGGGCAGACCAACGGGCGCCACGGAGACCCAGCAGGTCGTTCTCGGCGGCGTTGGGGGCGCCCGAGTCGACGAGGACGCTCCGCGCTTCCTGGAAAGTATTATTGATTGCGGTCGGGGTCTGTTCTGTGAGCAAGACGATGCGCTGCTGGACCTTGTCGCGGCGCGCCTCGGGAAGGAGGCCGCAGTTCATGGAGTCGCCATTCGAAAACATTGCGAATCTCAATATAGATCTAGCCGCTGAACTAGCATGCAAATCGACGCCGAGCTCTCCAGGCACAGAACACTCCATCCTGGAAAATGCCGCGACGCCCGCGGCGACGAAGACATTCGACATCAACTTCGGGCCCAACTTCTGGACCATCTGCTTCTGAGCCGCGTTGCGCGTCCCACTTATTGACGCCGCTGGCACGTTGCGGGCTCCCCCGAAGAGTGCCCCGATGAACTCCAGGCGCTCCGACTCGTCCAAGAGATTCTGCGCCATGCAGGTCGCGCCCTCCTCCTCTGGGCCCCCGCTTCCAGACCGCATGCGCGAGCGCTTATTGTGCGCGAGCGCTTATTCGACGCATTCGTGAGCAAGTCGACCCGTGATTGCAAATGCCGAGCCCGCGGGGGGCGGTCCAACATCTTGGCGTTGTCGGCCTTGTCGACGGCCATGCCGCGGAGCTCCCTGCACGCCCCCAAAACCTTCTCCGCGCTGCGTGACCTGAGCTGGCCTGTAGAAGACGACGCCGTGTCGGCATCCTCTTTGCCCTCTACCTCCTCTGCGATGAACCCGTCGTCCGATGGGGCATCTTCACCAGTTGTCGCCGCGCCCTCGCCCTCGCGAGCGGGAAAGGCGCGCTCGAGCTTGAGCTTGAAGTTGGGCGTCTCCTGCCGGGCGTCGACGCGCGGCAACGCAGTCAGAGGAGTAGGAATCCCCATGCGCGATGAAGCCTCGCTGGATCCGCGGTCGCGCCCAACGCCTTTTCCGCGCGCGGAGCTCCGGCGCGGCTGGCGGGCTGACCTCAAGGGCCGCGCCAGTGTTCGAAGGCGCCTCGCTCGTCTCAGCACCGCGGCCACTCGAAGCAGCGGCGCCCTGCAACTCCGCAGAGACTCAGTGGCGATGTCATCAGCCCCATCCTCCATCATGGAAATCTGCTTGAATGATGTCGCCTCCGGCGTTCGCTCTCTGCGCTTGTGCGCTGCCCCCTGCGGCATGTTTTCTTCTTTCGTTCCGAGGGCGCCGGACTTGTCCTGGGCGACTTGAACATCTAGGTTACTCTCGCGAAGCCAGGAGCTCAAGTGCACGTTAATCCTGCCGCGGAAGTTCTGCTCAGGGTCGAGAGTGCTGCACTTGGCGTCGCCACGCAAGTGCGACCGCCGATGGCCTTGGAGCGTCGCCTTGAACGTCTCCTCACGCTGCCTTTTGTCCACGACGTCGCCCAGGGGCACTGAGGTTGCCCGTCTCATCCTTGAGGAACTTCCCCCGCAAGAACCTGGCGGCGTCGCGCTCTCTACCAGGCGGCTTCCACGCGCCGCCCTTCTACCGATTGCCCTTCGCCGATTTGATCACCAATCCGCCGGGGGGGCCCATGTCGATGCCCCCGCACTGCTGGTCGCACTCCAAGCACGTCAAATCGACACCGCCCTCGACGTGGCGCTCCTCGTCAGCTGGCGCAGTCGAAAGCCTCTTGCCTGCGACTCGCGCCTCAGGGGGCAACGGCCCGCCGGGGGCAGCCGCGCGGTTCCCCGTGGCGGCGGGGGCTGTGCTGCGGAGGCGCAATACACTTCAGTAAACAAAAGAACTGGTCTGACCCTGGGCACGGCATGGGGTGGCGGGCCCAGCAGGGGCGATGGGGGGGGGGGGGGCAGGCGGTGGAAGGGGGAAGAGGACGCGACCCCTACGTGGAAGCACTGATTGGGGACATCTGCATCGCGGTGGGGCCCAAGCCGCGGGGGCCCCCTACCTTCCCTCCTCCTCCCCCACCCTCTTCCTCCTCCTCCTCGCTCATCCTTTGTCTCCCCCATCCCGCGCCCTTTCCTTCGGTGGCGCCCCTTCCTCCTTCGTCGGCCCCCGTTCCTCTACCCCACGAAGGCGCTTGGACCCTCTCGCATGCTCTGGGGACGCGCGGGCCCCCAGGGGCCCCGGCCTCGGCCCTCCGTCGCCAGCCGCCAGACCCCCGTGCCAGAGCAGCCTCGGCCCCTTCGAGGCCCTCGAGCACCCCGGGGACAGAAGCCCCCCCCCCCCCCCGCTGCCGCAGCGATCGGCAGCCCCGAGTCCAGCATTGGCCGAGACTACGCCAGAAGCGCTGTCCAGTTGAGACCAGGCTAAGACCAACGAAGACCAACTTAAGACCAACTGAAAACCAACTTCGAAACTGCCGAATTCCCGGATACATTCCTCAAACATCGACCTAATACCAATTAAAGACAGACCCAAGAACAACTTAAGACCAACTAACACCAACCTAAGTTCGACTTCGGCTGAGATTGCGCCACAGACAACGCACGAGACCTCGTCGCGCCCTCCCCCCCTGCCGTTGTCTGTCTGGGTTTTTTGTTATCCCCCTAGGGGCGGGGGGGGCTGAACGCCTGGGCGAGGCCCCCAGACCAGGACCCAGGCGAGGGCCCGAACGAGAAAATCAAAAATGCCTTCTGGAACAAAAAAACTAGCCGCGATGTTTTCCCAGGCGCACTCGCCAGGTGAGCCTGCCGACGACGCAGAGGGCGCGCCCCCAGCTGCGGACAAGCGTTAAAAACAAGCAATCACTTCCTGATCATATCTAAATCCAGCCTTGCGAAGGAAATCCCAGCTTATCCAGATGCGACTGGCAGCAGAACGAGGCAGAACGTGCCCATTGCTCACTCACGAGTGGTGCAAGGACTTATCTTGTTTTGCTGCTGTGTCTCGAAACCAAAACTTGCAATCGCCTTTCTGGATCTTCGAAATCGCAAAGGGGGGGGGGGGCCTTTCTGGAAACGCGCAAAACACGGAGCCCTGCTGAAAACGGCCCACTCGGGCGCCATGATCCCCAAGCGGGTGCCCGAGGGAATGGTGCCGCAGTTAGTACCTGAAGCCTTCTTGACCTGGTCGGGTTCGGGGGCCTCCTCGAAGTCCACGTCGCTCCCGCCCCCGCCTTCGACGCGGTCGCATTGCCGAGCAGGGTGGGCAGGAGGGGCAGTGGGGGGGATCGGGGGGTGGGACTAAGGATCCAACGCATCAGCAACTACACACAGCAAAGCCGCACCTTGTTGCGGGGGCCAGGGGGGGGGGGGGGGGGGGGGCAAGCATAATTAGAGTTGGCGCGTCGGTCGGCCTGGGTGGACGGGCACCGCCTCACGACCCACGATGGGTGGCGACGGTCGCGCCGACGACTTTGCGTGCCAACCGTGGAAGCGATCGCCATGTTGCACGGCGAGTCTCGGCGGCAGCCGCAAGAGAGATCATAACGCGAACAAGCGTTTCACTCTCGGACGGGACATTCGGCGCGAAGAAGATCCCGAACGCGCGGGGGATCGGATCGCGAACTTGCCGCTGGGACACAGGCGTGAGAGGGGGGCGGGCTGCGCGAGGTCGAGGCGCGAGGCTGGCTTCGCTGAACCAGGGGATGCGGGACGTCGGTGGGAAGCGGCCCAGGGGGCGGGGCCTCGGCGACGGGCAGCGCGAGAAGCCGATGCTTCGCGAAGAGGGGACACGTACAGAACGGCACTTACAGGGGCGCGGCGCACGTTGGGCGCGCGAGCGACGGCGCCCAACGTGCACCCCGCCCCGCTGGCAAGGTGTAGTTTTATAAATGCAGTTGCGTGGGGGTGTCTCCTGCGAAACCAGCGCGCACAGAACTACGCCTAGTGCCTGGCTAGGTGTAGATCTGAACGTGCTGGATGTCTCGGGTGGGGCGAGCACGTCCATATTGGCACCTAGCGAAATGGGCGGGGTACATGTCGGGTGCGTCGTCGCGCCACGCCCGCAGAGAAAGGAAGGCAAGGGCCGCCGAACCCCCTGCCGGCCTCTGGGCGGCGGTGTCTGAACGCCCCAGGACTACCCGAAGGAATTCCAACTGTGGCCTCCGCCCACATCGCTCCCCCTATCAGAGCATCTCGCCTGGCCACAATGTTCCCCATTCCCTCCCGCTGCTCTGCCCTCCCCCTCCCCCGTCCTTCCTCTACCTACCGCCCTCCATATCCCTGGGCGTTTCCCAATTGCCCCTGGCCCCTGCGCGGCGGCAACAGCCCGCGCCCCCCCGCAGCTGAAAGACTCACCTTGCGCTCATCCTCCAATCCACTCGCGAGGCGCAAGTCTTGATTCCACACAGACACTGGCAAGCGACGTCGAGGCCCCGGCAAATCCGACAGGCGCGACCGGCCCCCTCGAATGGCGAGCGAACCAATACGCAAGACGACGTCGCCAAAGTAAATCTGGAATTTGGGGGCCCGCGCAAGAGGTTAATCCACTCGCCCAAAATGCAGCTCAGTGCCTGTCCGATAAGGAAGGTAAGAGGCGCAGATGACAGCGGGGGGAGCCGTTAAAGTGAGGCCAGGCGAAGAGGGGATGATACGAAGAAGGAGAGAACATGTAGGCAGCCCGAGGTTGCCTCCGTCCCTCCTTCCCTCCTCAGTGCCTGGATCAGCAGCTGCAGGCGCGCCGCCCTTGTCCGTCTTGGCCTCGGCAACAGCGGCAAGCTGGATGACGTCGTTGTCGGCGACGTCCATGGGGGCGTCGCACGTGGAGCCCCCCCCGGCTTGAGGCCGAACGGCAGCGTGAGCTCGCCATCCTTCGGCTTCACCACCTTCGCATCGCCGTCGGGCACGGCGTTCAGGGGGCATGTTCCTCTTGCGCCGTCCCGACGGTCTTGACAGCCAGCCATCTCTGGTGGTCAAGCTTCTCAATGTTGTAGACCTTGAACTGAATCGGCATCCCTGCAGCGACCACAGCAGGGCCGACGCCGCATCGCATCTGGCCATCTGCCCAGTCATGGATGCGATCTGCGCGAAGCCATGTTCGACCACTACCATCGGCTTGGGTGGATCAACAAGTCCTTCCACGCGCTCCCTACGAATAAAGAAAATCGTGTCACCTTTGCCGAACGTGTCAGGGAGAACGCAGTGGTTGGTCACGCCGTTCAAACTGACCGATGTAGTTACGGGAAGCATTGGTCGTGACATGTGACATCGCTTCAGAAGTGCGTGAAAGTTCCCAACCCCACGCGATGCTGCAGGTAGCCAGCGGTCCAGAGTGCAGACCCCCAGGTCTTGGAATGACATGACCGCGATGTACTGGCTGTCTCTGGCGGTTTGTAAATTGGTTTCTCGCCGTAGCCGAAAGTGGAGTTGACCTCCCCCTTGCACGTCGCATCTGTAATGCTGGTGCCCACCGTGGAGGGTCGCAATGCCGATGAGCAGGGCGAAGATACCAAGTCCGCACATCCACGCCGGATGCGATTCGATCTCTTGGGGGACTTTGACAGACAGCTTCTGCGTCCGGAGCTTGCACCTGCGATCGCCCAGCTGAGGGCGAGCAGCCTCGATCTTCGCGATGGTCAGGTCGTCTAGCACGTTCGCAGCGGTCTCAGACATCGCGACCGCGTGCCCTTCATAAGGCGCTCTGGCATCATCTGGCGCCGCAGTCAACGAGACCTTGATGCTGCCTTCTTCAAACTTGAACTCTGGACTGCCGCTGGGGAAATTGCACAACCAATTCTCCGAACGAAATCGCTGATCAGCAACCGTGGCCGTGCTATGCATCATGATGCTCTCCACGGTCGTAACCTCGACGTGCTTCGCATCGCTCGACGACTGGCGCGCGCCATCTAAGCGAAACTTCGTGGGCAATGCGCGGTGCTGGGTCATGCTCATGCCGAAGCGCTCCAACGCCTTCTCGCGCACCGCCGCAGAGGTCAACCAAGCTTCCTGCAACGCGCCCTGAAGTTGCGTGGCCACAGCGGGGTTCAGAGCGTTGACTGCAAGGCCTCGCGACTTACCTGGCTTCAAAGACTCTCCGTGAAGATGTCGTCGCTCAACGCTCGCACTGCCCATGCGAAGGCGAGTGGGCGTTCATCGGGTCAGGAGTCGAAGAGGCTCGCCATCTCCGAGGCAAACGAGCCGTCGAAGCAGGCCCTGCATGCCCTACTGTCCTTCAGAACCCTCAGAGTTCTGCGCAGAATCGGCGGAGTGGCTGACCGCGCGGCCGCCGTCGTTCGCGCGGGGGTCGAAGATGCGATGCCTGGGGCCGTCGAAGCAGCAGACCAAACGCCGCGCACTAGATGCCGGTGACAAAGCAACGTACGCAGCGTCCAACTTGTCAGCTTCAGCCATTCTCCACCGCTGCCACTGTCTGCCATGAAGGTTCGCGATCATGTCAGCGTACCCGGAGACAGCCGATAGCCCGCAAGCGCCAGAGACAAACATGTAGGTCAGTTCGCAGCTGCGCTTGAACACGTCCAGCATGCCGTTCCCAGCTGGGCCCGTGGCAACGACGTTGGAAGCGCGTTGAGTTTGCTTGTCTGCCTTCGTGGCGTTGCAGAGGCTGCGTCAAATCTGAAAATAGAAATCAGACTTGCCACCAGCGTCCTGGTCAAATCTGCGCAGTGCCCCACCCGCCTTCACAGTGGTCCTTGTCTGAAAGCCTAGCTCATCGACGCTCCTGGCTCCCTGCGCTGCAACATTCGCATCGTCGTTCCCCTTTCGAATCAACATTTCCTGAGCACCCGTGGCAACAATTCGTCTGACCCCTCCCTCGGGAGGCAAAAGCGAGAGCTGCGTCCATGCGCTTCCACGTGCACAATAATGCCACTGGACACCCAGAGCCAAAGCAAGTCCGGGCCAAGTCTTTTGCAATTTGCTTACTGCGGTCTCCACTGGTGCATTCGCTAGGGCAGTTGCCGACGACGCAGTAGTGAATGTAGTTGGTATCTGTCCACAACCCATTGTCGTGATCGATGATGGCTTTGCAGTCGGCCTCGGGTACATCACCGCGCGCCTGAGAAGCCTGGAGAATCAAAGAAGAATCCGATTGCCTAGTAGTGCACTCACCGGGGAGCCTGAGCGCTCCCCGATACTCGAAGATGTCTTCGATCACGACGTCCATTGACACGAGCAGCTTGTTCATGTTAGTCGCGCCCTCCAGGGTGTGTCCCAAACGTACAAGAGCGCTAGGTAGATCACCTTGTCGTTTATACACGCTTCTCGTGAACAAGCATGTCTGGTGTCCTTGGCAACGCACGCCCAGGTGGGATCGAAACTTGGCGTCGCCCCTGGGCTCGGTACGCTCCATCTGCCCGCAGCGCGTCAAGCAATCGTTCGTATTGGCAGCATCGTTTGCGCACGCTTTCGATATGGTCTTCACTCTGCCCAGTAGAGCCTCTGATCGGCCCGCACCGCCATTGCACACATGGGCGCCGATGTTGCCGCCGTTGCACGTGCTCCACTTCCGCTTCCGACTTCGCATCGTTGCCCAACTAACTTGAGGAAGTACGTGGGTCGGGCTGTGTATCTGAATACACCGCCACGCTGATGTTGAGTCTGATGCCGTCTTGACAAACACATACTCCAACGAGCTCAAGCATGGTATGGCAATGCTTCTCCCAATGGCCTCGCCTTTTCTCTTGCCCATTCGTCCGTTCCTCCTGTCGGCAGCCGCGCAAACATCTACGTTTTTGGAAACCATCGGTTGGCGAACCCACATTGGCGCCTCGTCCGTCACATCAGTGACAATCATGGACACTGCGTTGGCGAAGTGTTGGCTCAGTGCGTCTGAGATTGCAGCTATTTGCAAATCCACTCCTCTGGCGTTCAATCGGTATTGCTGTTGGGTCTTGTCGATGTCCACCGTGGTGTTGGCACTGATCGTCATCGTGCCCATGGTGCCCGAAAACGAACACCTCGCTCGACACTTGGTTCGCCAACCTTGGGTTTGCAACTAAAGCTGCCACGGCCCGATGCTCCGCAAGACATCTGGAGAGCGTGGCGGCCGAGAGGGATGCATGGAGGGGCTGGTGGTGGCGCGTCTTGTACTGGTGCTGGTACTGGTGTTGCTGCTGGCGCAGCTGGTGCTGCTGGATCTGGTGGCTGTGATGGGCCTCGTCTCCAACAGCAATGCGAAACCCAAACATGGAAAACGTGAACGATGTCGTTGCGAACGTCTGATATGGAAAGATATGAATATGGGGAATCGTCCTGAAAGGAAATACGAAATCTCGGAGGCAAGCCCAAACGGCTACACACGGAGGAGGAGAGCAGCACGACAGGGCGGGGGATGATGGGGCAGGGGGAGCAGGAGCAGCAGTAAGGTAAGGCAGAGTAGTGGGCCCAAGTTGCGGCCAAATCCTTTCAGAGGGCTTCAGGACAGAACACCGCGTGGGGACGTTCAATCAAACAGTAACGCCCACGTGCCCACAAAAGCGAATGTTCGAGACATCCCCGGAATAGTATTCAGTATCGCTTGTCGGTTGTCTCATCGTCCTCATCCTCCTTCTTGTCCTCTTCTTTCTCCTCCTCCCACTACTCCCCGTTACCCGAACGCCCATTCGGTCAAAACGGCCGACAAGAGAAAGTTGCGTAAATTCTAACGTTGTTCCGAAGCGCTCACGAACACAATTGCTGAACATGTCTTCATACGCTTACTGTTGATGGACTGTATCTTCTTGTTTGGCACATGTAAGAAGTTGTTATGATATCGAGGCCGACTGAACACAGGTGTAAGTCCTGGGACGCTGTCGTTTGAAATCCCCGCGGCGTCTTTACTGATTTCACCAAGACCGCCCTAACTATACAATTCCTCCTCCTCCTCCTCCTCCTCCTCCTCCTCTTCCGCCTCCCTCCTCATCCCTCCTTCTCCCTCCTCCCTCCTCCTCGTCCTCCCCCTCCACCACCACCCTTCTGGGCGAGCCTCCAACTGCCGTTCCATGGTCCCCGCGGCCGCGGCGCGCGCCGTCGCGGCGACTCGGCGCCGGGAACGCCTCGGGAGGTGGGGCGCCCTCGTAAGGGAGGGGGGGCGGAGCAGTCAGGAGGCACCGACGGGCTTTGGTGTGCAACTCGCACCTACTTCGGGACCAGCAGGAAGGAAGGCTCGTCCTCGTGACAAGGACCGGCAGTGGCCCTCGCACCCAAGAGTTTCTTCAACGCGCTTCGGGGCCGGGCCCGCCCCGCAGCGGCCCTCGAGGTGGGCCACAGCCAATCGATTCATTATGATTGTCTTGACGGCACTCCAAGCGTCGCATGATCTCTCCTCGGGTTTTTTTCGATGTCGGCCAACCCCGTTCGAAAAAATTCGACCTGGGCGCAACATGGGTTTGCATCCTCATCGCACAGCCTCACTATTAAGAAACACCCATTGCGGCTCCCAAACAAAAACGGAAATGCCATAATGATTGATCTGTGGTCGGTTGCTGTAGGATGTTGGTGTTTCAGTCTTGTCGTGCTTGCAAGGCTTGAGAACTGCCCCAGGGGCCCCCAGGATCACCCTAAGACGGCCCAACAAAAACTTCCAAAAGGACCCTTGTCGGCCAAAAATGGCCCCAAGACGGCCCAAATGTCCCCCCAACCTGCGCAATATATTTCCCAGAAGGCCCAAAAGAGGCCCCAAAGGAGAAACGCGAACCCGAATTCTGAATCCCTCGCCCCAAAATGGCCCCCGGATTCCGGCAGTAAACAAGCCCCCGAGAGGCACCGCGCAAGCTCCAGGAGGCCACCAACGGGCCCAAACCAGGTCTCAAGATGCTCCGGAGAGCCCCCCGAGAGGATTCCAAAGCACCCCAGAATCGAACCGAATCCAAGAACCTTCCGAACCGCCACTCAAGAGATTCCCAACGCACATCCCAGAGGCTCCGGACCAGCACCCGCGCACAGTGGTGAGATGGGCGAAAAACCCTTGGATCCGCCGCCCCCTGTGGCTTGCCACAAGGGTGCGCGTCGTGTCACGTGTTCGGCACTCCAGATTTCGTAATAAAAGGGAGGGGGTCTGGACCCTCCAAGACAAGCCATTTCAGACCCCCCCCGTGGGAGAACCCTCCAGAACGTCGTCCCCAGACCCCCCCAGGCCCTCCAAGATGGCCTGGAAGAGACCCCCCCCGAAATGAGACCCCCCTCCCTTTATTACGAAATCTGGAGTACTTGCTCGTCCATGTGCAAGTTCCCAAGGGGCACCCGGCCGACCCCGCCTTGCCGCCCGCAAGGCCACCGAGAATCTGGGCCCCGTTGCCGAAGCCGCCTGCCGAACGGCCGCTATGGCGCAAGATTTGCCAACAGTGGCCTCCTGGACGGCCAGGATGGCCGAATGCGGCCTCCAAGACGGCTCCATTAGGGGGCCACAGGCGAACCCTACCCCTACCACCCACGATTTCTGAGGGGTAGGGTGGGGTTCACTTCGTCTGGGAGCTCCCGAGCGGAGTGAGCCCCACCCTCCCCACCAGAAATCGTGGGGGGTAGGGGTAGGGTTCGCGTGTGGCCCCCTATCCATGATGTTGCCGACAAGACCAAGATGGTCGGACGGAAGCCCAATATGGCCAAATCCAGCCCCGCACAGCGCATGCCCCGAGATGCCGCGACTCGGCCGAGGAGCCTCCAAGAGGTCCTCAATGAAGACCGAAGAGAGCAGCATCATGCGTATGGGTGTTTGAATGATTGCGGCCGTCTCTTCGGCTTCCCACGGCCCCAAACGGCCCGAGGGCCCCCACGATTGCCCAAACGATCGCCAAAACAAAAACCCAAATTGCCTCGAGAAGGTCCAACAGTCCCCCGGCACGGCCCCCCCAAACGCAACAACAAATTGCCCAATAGACCTCCGAGACGCACAAAACAGCCTCCAAGACGGCCGAAATAACCCTTAAACAAAAAAAGCACGGGCCCAAAATGGCGGCGAGATGCGTCGGAGGTGCGCCCGACGCGGCCTAACGCGGCCACGACGCTGACGAAAAAAAACCCGAGGGGGTTCCGAGACGCCCCCGAGGAGAAATCCCAAGAGGAGGCGCAAACAATCGACGTCCACCAAGCGTTTGCAGGGTTTCTGTTTCGGCTTTCGGTTTCCAACAGCCGAAAACGGCCCGCGAGGCCCGGGGATCGCCTGAATAAGCGCCCAAAATGGCCTCCTAACCGGCCAATGCGGCCCCATCGGCCCACAGTGGCCACGAAATGTATCCAGGAGGCCCCAACTACCCCAGCAAAGCACACTGATAGCAGCTAGCGTGCGGAGAGTCCCAGGTCTCCCACATCTGCGACGACGCGCTTCCTCATCACTGCTCCGTGCGGCGAAGAGAAAACTTCACACGAGATGGGGCGAGAAACCGTAGCAAGGCAATCGCATGCGTAGTGGCGACGAGCAACCAAGCGCTCACCGATTGCTGCTTGGAGAGTCTGGGCGGCCTGTGGGCCAGAGCCGCTGAATCGAGAGCCTGGACGCCGTGGGGCCAAAAAGTCCACGGGCAAAGCAAGGGGGGCAATAGTTGTATGTAGATTCGTGTATGTATGTACATCTATATATATATATATATATATATATTCAAATAAATAAATATATATATATATATATATAGGCAAAAACGTGAAACACTCTGGGTTCGAGCCCCGAAATGGGGCAATGTATTGGAACATGCGCAAAACACAACAACGATTCGAGCCACAGGAGACGCACAATCCGTAGGCACACACGTAAACACGAACATAAGTCAAGCCAGAGTAGGGTTCGAGCCACTGGAGAGGGGCAGACTACAAGCACAGACGTAAAACACACAGGATACGAGCCCCAAGAAACGGGCAATTCATGGGCACAAACTTCTACAACACAGAACGTTCGCCACAGGAGAGAGGCGGTCCAGAGGCACATGCGTAACCACACATCAGGTTCGAGACACAGGATTGGGCAAACGATGGGCACATTGCGTAAAACACACACAGGGCTCGAGCCCCCCCACAAGGGCAATTGATAGGCCAATTCTTCATTCACATAGGAACCGAGCCACAGGATAGGATCAGCCCATAGGCACACAGGTAAAACAAATGTTCAAGCTACGGGGGATGGGCAAGCTATGCAGAACTATGTTTTCCCGAGCGTCCTACCCTCCACGGGGGGATGTGGCAGTCGGACGGAAAAGCAGCCGTCGGGACTGAGAGGCCCGGCCAACCTCGGAATCGACACAAACGTGCATAAGCACAAAGGATTCGACCCACAAGAGAGGGGGGCAACCCAGAGGCACATCGCTGAAACAGACCAGGGCCCGAGCAACAGAGAGGGGCCGATGTATAGGCACAGACGTAAAACCAATCGGATCCGAGCCGAAGGAGAGGGCTAATCCAGAGGCACATCTGTAAAGCACAAACTGACTACCTGCCAGACCACCCCAACCCAACCAGAAGACCCGAATTTCGGGTTGGGGGGGGTACGGGTTCCACGCGTGTTTTCTCGATGCTTCCCGACCCCTCCACACTAGAAATCGAGGGTAAATCTGAGCCCTCGGGTTGGGTTGGGGTGGTTTGGTGGGTGGTGACAAACAGGATCCGAGCCACAGGCGGGGGGCTATCTGTGAGCACATGCGTAGAGACACGCGCACACACACAAGGTTCGAGCCACAGGCGAGCCACAGGAGAGGGGCGATCCAGAGGCACACGCGGAGAGCTCACACAGGATTCGAGCCACAGGGGAGGGGAAATCCATCAGCACACACGTGGAACACGTGGGATTCGAGCCGCAGGAGAGGGGCAGTCCAGAGGCGCATACGTAAAACACACACACACACACAAAGGATCCGAGCAGAAGGAGAAGGGCACTCGACAGGCACCCGCATAGACACGCGGGATTCGAGCAACAAGGCAGGGTCAATACATCGGCACACATGTGAACACACAGGATTCGAGCCAGAGAAGAAGGGCAATCTATAGGCACGTGGGTGAAAACACACGTGATTCGAGCCCCATGATAATGGTAATCGACAGGCACCTACTTCGAGCACACCGGATTCGAACCACAGGATAGGGGCAATCCATGGGCACATACGTACCTAAAACACACGAGATTCCAGCCCTAGGGAAGGGCCAATCGATAGGCACACACTAAAACAAGTAGGATCCGAGAAAAAGGAGAAGGCCAGTCTATAGGGACGTGCTCAAAACATGTACAAGTCGAGCCATAGGCGAAGGGGTTGCGAGGCCGGGGCGCCCGCAGGCCAAATAGTCAACGAATCGACACCAGATACAAATGAACTTCCGCGCGACGTTCCGTCCTGCGGGCCCTGGAGGGCTCGGGAGGCCCGGGGGAGGGCTGCCCAGAGGCCAAAAAGTCAACGAATCGAAACTGGATACAGACAAAGCTCCGTCGTCCCGCCCCAGGGCCCGGAAGGCCAGGGGAGAAACATAGGAGCGCAGGACTCAGTAAGAAAGAAGAGGGGCAATCTGTAGGCAGGGACGTATGTATAGCACCAAGGGTTCGAGCCCAGGAGAGGGGCAATGGCATGCAGGCACATACGTAAACACACACATGATTCGAACCACAGGAGAAGGGCAATCGATAGGCACACACTTCAAACGCATTGGGTTCGAGGCACAGGAAAGGGCAATCTATAGGCACAAACTTCAAACACACACAGACAGGATCTGAGCACCAGGCGAGGGGCAATATATATATATATATATATATAGGTACAGTTGTAAAACACCGAAGATTCGAGCCACACAAAAGTAAAACACACAGGATTCGAGCCCCAGGGGAGGGGCAACCCATAGGCACATACATAAGCACACACACACATGTCGAACTAAAAAGTAGGGACAAGCCATAGGCACATACGTAAAGCACACAGGATCCGAGACACAGGGGAAGACAATCGATAGGCATCTGCGTAAAACACACAGGATTCGAGCAACAGGAAAAAGGGCAATCAATAGGCACATACGTGAAACACATAGGATTCGAACAGCAAGAGAAAGGTAATCCGTGGGCACATACGTGAAACACATAAGATTCGAGCCCCAGGAAACGGGTAATATGTAGGATCATAAGTGAAGCAAAGAAGGTCCGAATCCCAGGAAAGGAGCAATCGATACGAACATGTGTATAAAACACCTGGGTTTCGAACACATCATATTCGAGCCACAGTAGGAGCAATCAATAGAAACCTGCATCACTTTCATAAACATCGGGGCGCCGGAGAAAGCCAAGCTGTAGGCACATACGTAAAACACACCGGATTCGAGCTCGAGGATACGGGGAATCTATAGCGACACACGTCAATCACGTAGGCTTCGCCCCCCCCGGATCAACAACATCAACACTAGGAACATATGGAAAACCCAAGGCCGCGCAAGCGGCGTGCTTGGTAAACGGCTCGGTTGGGAGTCTGGCTTCTGTGACGCCGAAACCACTCAGAAAATAAAAAAGGAAATCACGAAACACCATTTCCTTAATGTCAAGTTGGCGAAGGTATCGAACGACAACGACACAGCAAGTTGTAGGAAAACACGCACCACACGTTCCTGCAATTGGTTTGACAAAGGCCACGTTTTCCTACAATTGGTGTTCATACATCGCCGTCAGCTAACACACCGCTAGCGCGTCTAAGGAAAACACCTACGACTCGAGCCACGGCACAGTGACACTATATAAGCACATATGTAAACACACACACACACACACGCACTGCATTCGCGCCCCAAGGAAAGGGCAATGTATGGGAATACACGTACGTAAAACAACGTATGATTCGAGCCACAGTAGGGGGCAACTGGCAGGATGTTTTTTTTGTCCCGTTTCAGCCGTTTGATGTTTGTGTTTACCAGCAGAGGCCACGGCGAGACCACTGCTGGCCTCAGGTAGAAGGCAACACAAGTGGCTGACAACCTCTGACGCTTAGTGAGGGGAAGGCGCCAGCGAGGACCGCCTCCCCCAAAAAGGCGCCAGGGCTGGGACTTTGCAAAGCCGAGGCCATGCTTGCGGAACAGGCAACATATGCACGCTAGGGGACATTGTCACACCGAGCAGCGGCACAAAACAAGGGCAACCTCGCTTCGGCGAGCGCCGCTTTGGGGAGGGGGCTTCGCGACTGCCTTTCGGAACGCCCGCTATGGCCCCCTCTCCGCGCGGTTCGACCCTCGGCTCAACCGCCGACAAAAGGGCACCCGTGGACTATACAACACAAGCGCCTCCGGCGCTCGCCATGGCCATCCTGCTCGGGCCCACGCCGTCCAAAGGACAGCGCAGCCTAGAGCAGGTCCGATGGGAGCCTGAGGATGAGAATTCGGGGGACCGCCGCAGTCCTCGACGCGCACAGGATAGGCGCCCTCCCGAGCAGCGGTCACCGCAGGGGGGGAATATAACCTCCAGAGCCCTGCGGCCGCGCGGACAAGGGGGGAGCGGACACCACGCGGCAGCGACAAGGACGGCCACAGGGACCCCACATCGAGCCCGCCGCGCGAGGCCAGGCCGCCACGCAGTGAGACCGAGCGGCCCTCCTGCGCAGCAGTCGCTGCAAGGGGGGAATCACCCCTAGCGCCCTACAGCCGTGCCAGCAGGAGGACGTGGACGGCACGCAGCACTGAAAAGGACGGCCACAGGAGGACCCCAGATCGAACCCGCCGCGCGAGTCCCACAACCTACAATGATAAAACAGAACGGCCCCCACGTGCAACTGGCACCGCAGGGGGGAAGACCACCTCCAGCGCCACACGGCCGCGCAGACAAGGGGAGTGGACACACACGCACGCAGCAGTGAAAAGGACGGCCAGAGGGACTTCAGATCGACCCCGCCGCGCAGGTCCAGGGACCGCAGGGGAAGTACAGACTGCACCCAATGGGGTGTCGAGATGATGAATGACAAAGAAGAGAATACAGAAACGCACATGCAGTCTGAGTCAGTAGAGTTCCCCCCCCGCACCAGCCCCCCACCAACATCGCCGGACAAATCCGAAGGACAGGGTGTGTGAGGACTGGCCATCGCGACCCCAGGCCTTGCCAGAATGACCCGCGGACGCCCAGCTGTCGGTCATCCTCACATCGAACTCCCGCCCCGCTAGTGGCAGCTTGGATAAGCGAAGCACCTGTATCTACCTGGGTGTTGACAAAAACGGAGGTGAATCGACACTGATGTGAGGCAGCCTGGGTGCTTAGCAGTCGAGCCCCAGCGGGTGTGGCGTCTCAAATGACATCGAGCGAACACGCAGTATTGAGCTGCACTTCTGGACCAGAGGAGGCCAGAACACCACAGCGAGCGCCGCTGCCAGATTCCACGCTGCGCCGCCGGGGCGGTGAACCGCCTCCCCCAGGCCCCCCTTTGTGACAAATATGGTCGGAGGAATCTTCGACACCTCTTAGAAACCTCGAGCGAAACGCTATGAATGGAGCAGGGACCGAACGTCCCGGCATTCCCATAGGCCTATCATGAAATGTTCTTAGAACCCAAACATGTTCTTAGAACAAAAGCAATGTTCTTAGAACATAGACCCGATGTGTAAAAACAAACCAGTTTCGGCCAGAAATGTTCTAAGACCAGTTCGTTCAGGCCACAAAGGGTTCTCAGAACATTCTTGGGTGGGCCTCTAGGCGAGCCAGGACGCTTCACCTGGCTTCAGCTCGGGAACACGCGTGGCTTCGGCTCGGGAACACCACGTCGGATGCCCCCCCCAAGCGTGGCCTGGACACGCGTGGGTACGTACGTGTGCTGCGAAGGCTGGCACCGAGCCAACACGCCGACGTGAGTCGCACTCCCGGCCCGCACCGGGGCCTGAACGCCACGGCGCGCGCCGGCGGCGCGCGCCGCTGGACCGGTGAGACGCTGGAGACTCTGGTGAGCGGGATCTGCGAATTCTGTTAGAGCCATCGGCCTGACCTAAGGAACGATAAATAAGGAACGAAGCTCCTGTTTTCCAAGGAAAAAACATAAGGAACGATACATAATACAAAACGCATAAGGAAGGATACGTAACGCATGCAAGCCTTAAGGAACGACCGAGCCCCTTTTGAAAAGTAAGTGTTCCTTACTCAAGCCGCTCACTGTAGAGCCCTCTTGCTGCATGCCACTCGAGGGAAGAAGCTGCAAAGAGGCATCCAAGACGCAGCCAAGAGGCACCCCAGGAAATCCTCGAGGGCCCAGTGCATTGACTTGGCTCAGGTTGCTGATGGATTCTAACACGTGGTGTTTGTTTGGCCTTCCGACGGCCCGTGACGGACCAAGAGGCCCCCAAGAACTCCCAAGAGGCCTCCAAAGAGACCCAACACAGCCCGCAAGGTCCGCAAGACGGCCCCAAGAGGGCCCCAAGACGGCCCAGGAGACCTCCACGGCGCACAAGCCTCCAAGACGGCTTCCGACTGGCTAGGAACTCCAGAAGACTGCCAAAGAGGCCCCCAAGAAGCACCCCAAGGCCCCCCAGAGACCCAAAGAAGCCACATCGTCCGATAACTTGGCCGCGCACTGGCCGCAACGTTCGGGCCCAGAGGCACTTCCACAAGGGGCAGGGGGCCGCGGGGATTCGCTGCGGGCGTCTTCGATGCGGGAGGCGCATGCGGTGTATGAGCAGATCAGAGAGGCAGGTGGAGAAAACAGAGGTGGCATACATTCAGATGGCAAGCGATTCGGGCGTATCATTAGGTTGGGCGTGTTCTCCTACAGGCGGATCTTGGACGCAAGAAATAATCAAACCATGCTCAAAAAGAGTTTGAAGAAGTTGAAACATCGTCCCATGACGATTTGTTGACTATGTTTGGATATTCCTGCTGTAGCGGGCCAGGCCCGACTTGAGCGTATCAGGTCGCGAGAATATGCCGCACCCCCAGATGGCAGACAGTCGGGTCGGGCGAAAGGGGGGGATAGCAAAGGGGGGGGGTGAGAATCAGCTCACGTAGCTGATTTTCCCGGCGCCTCCCGGCGCCGGAGGCGGCTATGTATCGAGGAATGGGCCCCTCGGTGAGGCCGAAACCAGCTGCATGCAGCAAATGTCGTAACCCCCCCTTTCCCAGTCCCCCCCTTTCGTCCAGCCCAAGACAGGATGGCGAGGGCACATGTTAGGGAAGCTTGGGGGAGCAGCGAGGAAGCGTCTATCCTGTGGCGTCTGGGTGATTCGGGCGCGCGCGCCATGTTGCAGTCTCTCACCAGGCTGCTGCTGCGGAGAAGGAGAGGAAGCGAGGAGGAAAAGACAGAGGAGAAGAAGGAGGAGAAGGAGGATACTAAGGAGGAGGACGACAATGAGGTGGAGGAGGAAGATGAGGAGGATAATCATGATGATGCGGAGGATAATGAGAAGAACAGCAATAATACGAATAATGGTAATTCTGGGGCTAAGAATAATACTGATACGAATAATAATAATAATATTAATAATAATAATAACAATAACAATAAAAAATAATAATAATACTAATAATAATACTACTAATAATATAATACGACCAATGCTAATACTAAGACTAATAATAAAAATAAGACTACTAATAAAAATAATACGAGGGATACGGCTACTACTAAACATATTAAAATTAACGCTGATAATAATAAGGATGGCGAAGAGAGGAGGACGAGGAGGCGGAGGAGGGAGGAGGACGAGAAGGAGGAGGAGAAGAGGAGGAGGAGCAGGAGGAGCAGGAGGGCTGCTGGGGAGCAGGAGGGGGCCCTCCCTCGGCAGCCGCCGGCGCAGGGCGGGCGAGAGGACGAGCTGGAGCAGCAGCGCACCCCGAGGGCGGCGAGGCGGAGGGGCGCCTCGACACGGCCGCCGCCACCGCGCCAGCGCCGCCCCACGCCGCCCAGGCCGCCAGGCCCCCCGCCGGTGGCCTGGGGCGCGGCGGTTCAGCCCACGCCGCTGGGATGGGGGAGGAGGGGGAGGGGGGGGAGGAGGGAGGGGAGGAGGGGGGGGAGGAGGAGGAGGAGGAGGAGGAGGAGGAGGAGGAGGAGGAGGAGGAGGGGAGGAGGAGGAGGAGGAGGAGGAGGAGAGGAGGAGGAGGAGGAGGAGGAGGAGGAGGAGGAGAGATTTTCAAAATCAACGACAACTGCCACCAGCAAGACTGGGCTGTCCGAAGAGCTGTGGCCCCCGAGCCCCTCCCACCCGGAAGGGCAACAACAACCAGGGGGTGAAGAGCGAAAACAAGGAAAATGGCGGACACACAGCGCACAGGAGAGAGGGAGGAGGGCCATCCTTCCCCTCCTCCTTCTCCCTCCTCCTCTCTCGCCAGGCCTCGGGACCCGCACAAACACGGCCTGGGATGAAAAGCTGTCCCTGGGGAAGGGGTCGGGCACTAGGTGGACCAAGGATGTCTGGGATGTCCACTATACACCTACACGTGGGAACCAAGACGTCGGATGGGACTTGTGGGGACCAAGACATCGGATGCCTGGGATAGGAAGACGAAGACTCTGTGCCTGCACCGATCCTGGCCAAGCTCGTCCTGGGCCCTGGACCAGTTGACGCCCGCCCTCCTGCTCGGGCAGAGAGGCACCTGCGCCCCGTCCTGGGCCAGGATCGGTGCAGACGGCACCCTCCGAAGACAAGGGAGGGGGGAGGCGACGGACAGAGGGGGGTGGAAAGGATGAGGGTGAGGTGTTGGGCTGGACTGGGGCTTGGCGGTTGCCTGCCGCACCGTGGGCGGGAGGGGGGGGGAGGGAGGGGGAACGGAGGGAGGGAGGGAGGGAGGGAGGCCGGGAGGGAGGGGGGGGAGGGAGGGAGAGGGAATGGAGGAGGGAATGGAGAGAGGACGGGAGGAGGGAGGGAGGGATGGGGGGAGAAAGGGACGGGAGGGATGGGGGGGAGGAGGGATGATCCTGCCATGTCAGCCCGCGGGGGCCGCGTAGGTAGAACCTTGAAGTGGGAAGGCGTTGGAAGTACAGGGCAGTTTTTAATACATAGGGTTTCCAAGCACATTGGATTTTAATACATGATGAATGTATGAATAAATGTATGCATGAACTCATCGTTGCGTTTAATACTAAATCCATGCATGTTTAAGACATGATCCACACGCGGAGCATGTATTAAAAACGACACTGTAGGTAGAACCTTGAAGTGGGAAGGCGTTGGAAGTAGACTGGGCTTTCGCCCGTCTCCTGGTAGACGAGGGGCGAGGGAAAACCACCCGACTCTTGGAGCGGGAGGGCGGCCAAAGTAGAATTTGGGCACTGGGAGTCCCCAAAGACCTGCTTTCAATGACCGATCGGTACTGCTGCTACGCCGCCCGAAGTCTTCCGTGCCGCTATTCACCGTGTGCCAGTTGCTCGCACGCAGCCAGGGCTAGCCAGCTCCACGGAGCTCTCCGTCGCCCGCCGCGAACGAGGAGGGAAGGGGACGAGCAGGACGAGTAGGAGGACGCGGAGCAGGCCCGCTGGAGCAAGGCGCGCTGGGCCCCCATGAACTCGCGGACAGCTGAAATCGACCCACCCTAACCACATCCCCTCGGGGATCTTCTGGTCCGGGTCAATCCTGACCCGGGTCAGTCAGGCCTTGCAGAGCTTTGCAAGATCCTGCAAGATCCTGCACCCAAACCCGCCGTGTCAATGCAAAGGATCCTGCAAGATCCTGCAGGATCCTGCACCCAAGCCCTGGTCAATGCGACCCTGGCCCTCCCAGATCCTGCAAACTCGGGCGCTCTGGCTGACCCCCGTTTGCATTGACCCCCGTCTCAAGGCTTTGGACGCCCGAAATTGGTACGGAAAGAATTGGTACAATGTCCAACAACAAATGTTGTCCCGAACCAACAGCGGCCGCTGTTTGGCAGGCGGCCTTCTGTCTCAAATGGACACAGGCCGCGGCGGCGCGGACAGCGAGTCCTGTTCAAGATGAACAGGAACTGCCGCTGGGCATCGTACACATTCTTTCCGTACCCATTTCGGGCGTGCTTCCCAGCTCGGGAAGTGGGCAAAAGGGGAGTATCCCAGACTGACAGCGTCCTGAAGGGTGTCAGGGCGGAGGGGGAAGAGGAAGAGGAGGAGGCGGATGAGGGGGAGGAGGAGGAGGAGGAGGAGGAGGAGGAGGAGGAGGAGGAGGAGGGAGGAGGAGGAGGAGGACGAGGAGGAGGAGGGGGAGGAGGAGGAGGACGAGGAGGAGGGTGCCCGGCCATGCCCGGGCTTTCCCGCGGCCCTCCGGGAGCAGCGGAGCGAGGTGCAGCGAGGGAGGCCCCCCGAGGCTGGAGCCCGCCCGGCGCAGACGAGCTCGCTGGAGCAACTCGAACCTCGAAGCCCCCTCTCTCTCCGATCCTCCTCCCTCCTCCTCCTCCTCCTCCTCCTCCTCCTCCTCCTCCTCCTCCTCCTCCCGAGCCGAACCCTCGCCATCGCTCGGACGTCCACCCCCGTGCAGGATTCTTCGACGTCTCGGGAGTGATTCTGTGGTGTTGTGCCAGACGATGCAGGCTGCTCCTCGACAGTCCTCGCCTCGCAGGAGGAGGAGGAGGAGGAGAAGGCGGAGGAGGAGGAGGAGGAACGAGGAACGAGGAACGAGGAACGAAGAACGAGGAACGAGGAACGAGGAGAGCGGAGGTCTTGGTCCTCGCGGAACGAGGAGCGAGGAACGAGGACCGTCCTCGCCTCGGAGGAGGATGCGGAGGCGGAGGAGGAGGAGGCGGAGGAGGCGGAGGAGGAGGCGGAGGAGGAGGAGGCGGAGGAGGCGGAGGAGGAGGAGGAGGAGGCGGACGAGGAGGAGGAGGAGGCGGAGGAGGAGGAGGAGGCGGAGGAGGGGGAGGAGAAGGCGGAGGGAGAGGAGGCAGAGGAGGAGGCGGAGGAGGCGGAGGCGGAGGCGGAGGAGGCGGAGGAGGCGGAGGAGGCACCGAGGGGAGCGTCGAGGGCCAGGGGTTGGGGGGCGCGGAGCGCCTGCTGGAGGGCGCCGCCGCCGCGGCGCCCGTCGGCGGCGGTGCGGCGGCCCTGGCGGATGCTCTCCGCTCGCGGGCGCGGGGGGAGGGGGCGACAGACGGACAGACAGACAGCAGGCAGGCAGACAGACGGGCAGACACTCGCCATCGCTCGGACGTCCATTCCCTGTCTTTGTTTCGGTTTCGTGCGTGGTTCTCTCGCCAAAGGATCAAGGGTGTTCCTCGATGACCCTCGCCGAAGGAAAAATGCACACGTCCGAGCGATGCCAAGGACAGACGGACAGACATGCGGACAGACAGGCGGACAGAGAGACAGACGGACGGACGGACAGACAGACAAGCAAAAAGACAGACCCGCCACTGCGGCCCGGAGGCCGGTCCAGGGATGGACGGCACGATGGCGCCTCGGCGCCGGCAGGGCGGCACAAAAACTCAGGTCGCGTTGTCGTGGTAAGCCTTTGCAAGATCCGCCCGCCGCTTCCGCGGACCTTCCCGCCTTCTGGTAGAATCGAACGATTCCCAATTGCACTCCACTTGTGCCCACGATCGACTTTCCGTGTCGATGCGTTTTGACCATCATATGGTTGCTTTGCGAGGCAGAAGTGGGACGCTCAAGGACGTGCTAGCACCATGTGTCCTCCTTGGAGGCGTGCGTCCGACCCGAACACATCGTGCACCCAACCTGCAGCACATCGCTTCCCGAGCGGTGTCCCCAGAAAGCGCCCGCCGCGCCGCATGCCCTGTACGATTTCTCGGCGCGCGAGTCGCCCGAGGGGTGGCGCCATTCACACAGTGTTTGATGGGCCTGTTTTCCACTACCACCATCATAAGCTGGAGGGGGGAAGGAGGAGGACGAGGAGGGAGGAGGAAGAGAAAGAGGAGGAGGAGGAGGAGGAGGAGGAGGAGGAGGAGGAGGAGCAGGAGGAGGACCCCCTCCCCCTCCAACTTATGGTGGTGGTGGTGGAAAAGAGGCCCATCAGTGTTGGTATATGCCGCTGCGGCGCCGAAGCAGCGCCACCGAGACGGCGACGACGACGACGACGGGGCCCCGCACCGCCGCGCTGGCGAGCGGCCGGGCGCGGCGCTCTCCCGTGTGGCGGGGAGCTCTCGGGGCCCTCCTCGCCACGACGGCTCCCGCGGGCCTGCAGGCCAATGGCCCTGCGCAGGCAGGCCGCGAGCGGATGCTGGTGCCGACGGGGGACGGGGAGGAGGAGGGGGGAGGAGGAGGAGGAGGAGGAGGAGGAGGAGGAGGAGGAGGAGGAGGAGGAGGAGGAGGAGGAGACGTGCCGCCGTCTCGGGGCCCCCCGGGTGGAGCCCCTGGTGCGGCACCCTCTCTGCCGCTGGAAGGGGGCGCGGGAGCACCCGCCCGCCGTTCCTCGGTCGGAGGCTTCGGGCTCCTGCCGTCCGGCGCGCCGGTTCGAGGCCACATGATGTACACCACCAGAGACGAGAAGGACGACGACCACGACGACGACGACGACGACGACGACGACGACGACGACGACGACAAGGAAGTCGAGGAGGGACAGGAGGGCGGGCATGGTGAGGGGGGACGGGAGACGCCGAGGGGGGAGGAAGGACGATGGGGAGAGGGAGGACGGGAGACGCCGAGGGGGGAGGAAGGTCGAGGGGAGAGGGGGGACGGAAGGGGGGGACGAGGGGAGGGGACAGGGAGGGAAGGGGACGGGGAGGGGAGGGGACGGGGAGAGAACGGGGAGGGACCAGGGCGGACGCCGATGGGAGACGGGGGGGCGAGTAAGGCGAAGGGCGGGAGGAGAAGGGACGAGGACAAGCAAAGTGCGCTCGCGCCTCACCTGACGTGTTGCGCCTCCCGCACCTCCATTCCGTGGCACTGAAAATATGTTCGATCCGCCAGCTGGAATCCTCGATGACCTTGATCCTCAGAGTGGCCCCACTGTGTGATGCGCAATCCGGAAGGGAGGCGGGGGGGGGGTGTACATGGACGAGGAGGGGAGAAGGAGGGGGAGGAGGAGGATGATGTTACGGATGATTGTGAGACTGAGCAGCATCATGAGGAAGGAGGACGAGCAGCAGTTGCGTGAGTAGCAGGAACACTAGGGCAAGGGGAACGCGGATGGGGTGAACAGCTGAGAAGCTGCAGCGACGAGGATCCACAAATATGGCCTGCGCTGGTGAGAGGACGCAGGCGCGTAGGCGCAAATCCCACCAGCCCTTTGGGCGTGAGTGGTTTAGAGAGCTCTCTCTGTCCTCAACCCCCCTTCTTCCCCTTCGGGGAGGGGTTTACCCCTCCCCCTACCCCCTCCCCCTGGGCCTGGAGAGGGCGCCTCGCGGGTCGTCAGAGGGGTAAATTTCGACTCCTGGGAGGGCTAAAAAACGACACCCCTCACGAGGATTCTGGCCCCGACGGGGGGAGGGAGAAAAAACCCTCTCCTCTTCTTTGAAGCCAAACTCATTGATTTTACTATGGTGTTGGCCCCATTTGGGCCTTCTGAGGGGGCAGCGCTCATGAAAGCTCCCCTCTTCCTTCAAGGCAAAATTATTGATTTTACGAAGGTTTTGGCCTCATTTTGCCCGTCCGAGGGAGCAGCGCTCATGAAAGCTCCCATCTTCTCAGATCCATTCCCTCCAAGATGGCCCCAAGAAGCGCCCAGGAGGCACCAAGAGGCCCCAAGATGGCTCCAAGAGGTCCCCAGGAGGCCCCCAAGAGGCCTCCAATAGGCCCCAAGATGCCCCCAAGAGGCCCCCAAGAGGCCCCAAGAGGCTCCCCCGAGGCACCCAAGACGCTCCTGGAAGCCCCTGGGGCCGCCAAGAGGCCCCCAATACGCCCCAAACGGCCTCCAAGGGGCTCCCAAGAGGCCCGAAGAGGCTCCCCCAAGGCACCCAAAACGCTCCTAGAAGCCCCTGGGGCCGCCAAGAGGCCCCCAAGACGCCCCAAAAGGGGACGAGGTGCCCGAACGCCTCACGCCACGAGAAGCCCGAACGACTCACACCAGGACGAGGGGCCCGAACGACTCACACCACGAAGAGCCCGAACGACTCACACCAGAAGGAGGGGCCCGAACGACTCACACCAGGACGAGGCGCCCGAACGACCCCGAACACCACGACTCACACCACGACGAGGGCCCCGAACGACTCACACCACGAGGAGCCCGAACGAGTCACACCAGGAGGAGGGGCCCGAACGACTCACACCAGGACGAGGGGCCCGAACAACTCACACCACGAGAAGCCCGAAGGACTCACACCAGGACGAAGAGCCCGAACGACTCACACCACGAAGAGCCCGAACGACTCACGCCAGGAAAAAGGGCCCGAACGACTCACACCAGGACGAGAAACCCCAAACGACTCAAACCACGAATAGCGCTTTCTCTCCCTCCTCCTCCGCCTCATCCTTCTCCCGCTCCCCCCACAAGGAGGATGTACAAGGAGGCGGGAGGAAGGAGGAGCAGGGGAGATATGCGGGGGCAAGCGGACACACGCCTGAAAAACACAACTGTCGGCATGCTTCGCAAGAGTTGCTGTTGTGAGATGGGCTGGTGGGGATACGCGAAGCGTAAAGAATTTGAAAGACGGGAGCAACGCACCGATCTTGAAATGCAGCCAACTGCAAAGGGTGAACCGTTTGTTTGGACCGAAAACGGTCTGAGGGAGTAAGCACGTAGGCAATATCAAGTTGTGAAATCCTGTGCGAAAGAAATGCAAGTGTCGGGCTGGCGGTCACTACAACATATCAAAGCCTCACAGCAGACAGGAGACTTGTGATACATTTTCATCTGCCGAAGATACAAGAGACCCGCACATATACCGATGTGTCTGTAACAATACAAGTCCATCTATGTTAAATATAAATGCATGTGTTCATGTATATCACATGTTCATGTCTATAGTCTATATACACATATACGTGCATGTATGCATTCCATCTATACGCATACATGTGCGTATGGATGATTCGGAAGGGGAGCGTGGGGCAATAGGGCATATGAGAGAGGGGACTCAATCCTCGAACCTCCTGTTCGAACTTTGGACCATCCCGCCCAGCATTGTGCAGTCGGGGGCGGCCAAGAGGGGGGCGTCCAAGAGGGGGGGGGCGCAAATCATGGCCGGCGGCATGTGCGCGGCCCAGGGGGGTGTGCCATGGACGTAATGGAATAAGACGAGGCGCCATGAAATCTGGGGAAATATCATGGCCCACGCCATGATATCCCCCCCATCACCCCCCTCTTCGCCGTAACCGATGCAGCAACGTCTGAAAGGGAGGAACACATCGAGCTGGAATCGGCGATGCAACGCCGATAGATCGACGATAGGCTCCCGGACATCGAATCCGCAATGGGCTGGCTGGGGCGGTTGGCCCCTATCAGCGACCAATGGGCAATCGGGGGTCGATGCGTCCCCCGCTGATCCAATCCGCCCCACTTATCGAATAGGAGATCGACTACAGAACTGGCGCACCCCAAGATTGGAACACTCGTCGGAATTACAACAAATACGTTGAATGTCCTACCAACATTCTATGCTATCGTTGGCAGACTCGACGAACATCAATTTTGGGGTGCATCAATGTCGTAGTCGATCCCCGACTCGAACTTACTGGTGTCGAGGATCTTCTGACCCGGGTCAATCCAGACCCGAGTCAGTCAGGCCTTGCAGGGTCCTGCAGGATCCTGCGCCCAAGCCCGGGTCAGTACGACCCTGGCCCTGCAGGATCCTTCAAGATCCTGCAAGGTCCTGCACCCAAGCCCTGGTCAATGCGACCCTGGCTTTGCAGCAGACCCCCGTTTGCGTTGATCCCCGTCTCTCGGGAGCGGCCAAGAGGGGGGCGTCCAAGAGGGGAGGGGGGAAATCATGACCGGCGGCATGTGCGCGGCCCAGCGGGGGGGCCAGGGACGTAGCGTGCAATAAGAAGAGGCGCCATGAAACCTGGGGATATATCATGGCCCCCGCCATGATATCTCCCCAGGTTTCATGGCGCCTCCTCTTGTTGCACCGCCCCCCCTAGTCATCACCCGAGTCATCACCCCCCCTAGTCGTCACCCCCCCTAGTCGTCACCCCCCCTAGTC